GCTAACTGAAGAAGTCGAGTCACAGTGGAACCTCCCCCCCCACCCCCCGCATCATTAGCCAATAAGGTATAAAATAAAAGAGAGCTTAACATCAGAAAGCCAAAAAATACCATCTGAGCTAATCCCCTGTAATACTAAATACAGTCATTTCCATCAAGATCAATATAGTATAAATATCTATTAATTTAATCAATATCTACGGAAAAAAAACAACAACTCCAACTTAGCTATGAGCTAACTGAAATTATTGAAATTATGTTCTCTTCTGGAATGTAAGTTCCAGACACCCCCACATACACAATTACACAATTACACAATTGTGCACACACACACAGCACCAAGCCGGCCACTGCATCGTTATCCATTCCTACTGTAGAGCTGACTCCTGGTGCAGAACCAGAGACAGAGGTTTGGACTGTGTGCAGGTATTTGTCAGGTATGAATCAGAGAGATTACATGAAGTCTGAGCCCTGAGAAACATCTGCGTCTGTGACAGCAGACATCCACCTGCTGCTGTTGGCCAACAGTGGGGAAGGCTTTTCCAAGGGCTTAGAGAGAAACAGGAAAACTATCACAAACACAGACTGATCGCTTCTGATGTCTGGCTGTGAAGCCAGTTGGAGATTTGTGTCTACAGCCTGTAGGAGATCAGAAAAAAAACTACAAGGCAGGGAGAAACTTTTTAGCTTTAAAGTTATGGCTTCCTTAAAGTTCCTCTCTGCACACACTCACGCTCCCACGCACGCAGAAGGCCTGAACTTACATGAACACACACCTGCAGAGGCTCAGGTGGGACTGAACAGAACACACTCACTGTATTGATATACATACACACGGGCCAGGAGGCTGTTTTCTAACATTTGATTAGTGATGAATTCTTACAGTTAGAATAGCCTCTGGTCACACACACACACACACACACACACACTGTAGATGTACACACACACACACACACAGAGGTAATTCTAAGAGGTTTTCTGCCCTGTGGTTGTCCTTGGGCAATATCATCAGAAGGAATCAATAGAGCCATCGCTCAGGGTGAATGGGAAGAAGAAAAAGAAAAGAGAGAGACATTGAGAAATATATACAAGACTCCGGAGAGGGCGGGGGTGTACGGCATGATTGGGGCAGAGGGAGAATAATAGATGTAGAGCGAGAGGGATCGGACAGAGAGGGAAGTGCCGAAGCCAAAAAGAGGGGAGAAAAAGGGAGAAAAAAAGAAGAGAAAAGTTAGTAAGTATCATTAGAGGGAGTGAGTCGGAGAGTATCAGGAGTGAAGAGGGGAGCTGGCAAGAGCATCTGAGGAGACGGAGTACAAAAGGAAACGGGTAGAAAAAAGTGACAAGGATGGATGAAGGAAGCAAATGAAAGGACAGATGAGAGGAGGAGGGAGGAAAGAAGCGGGGGTAGAAAAAGGATTAGGCAGAGAGCAGGTAACTGGAGGATGGGCAGCAGAAAGGAATGAAGATGAGGGGGAGGGGGAAAAGTGTGGTTCAGAAAAAGGGAGAGAAAGGGGAGAGACATGAGGACAAAGGACAAGATAAAGAATAAAGTGGGATCAAAAGAGAGGACGGGTGAGTCTGGGAAGTAGGAAGAGGGGAGGGGGAAAAAGGAAAAAGGAGGAAGAGCGAAATAAAGTTCAAAGTGAATGAAAGGAGAAGTGCGTTAAAGTGTTGGAGAGAATCTGTGATTAAGTGAGACAATAAGTGACCCCGCAATCAACTCCTGTCAGATTTACGGCTCAGTGCTCCTTGAATGACATTTTATTAGGTGTGAGGATCAAACTGTGCTGTGGATGCTGCGGCACCGGCCAGAGCAGATGATCACAGAGAGGGTGCGAGGGGGGAGGTGGGTTGGTTCTGCTGCAGGGTAATAAACCTCGCTGAATAAAGTTAAAAGTTAAACACTGCTGGGAATATCTGGAACACAGAAGGACGCTTCTGATACACTTAACTTCGTGCATTATAATGAACGTCGCTGAGCTCCTCGTCTATCGTTAATGCCTTAATCACATACACAGGATTTGGTTAGAATTCAGCCAAGGACAGTAGAAGTTAGCAAAAGAAAACAGCTGGTGTTAGCACGGACATGGTAAAAAAAATGTGGTAAAATGACTGACTAGAGTGTGGAAACCCTGAGGCCCACTGGTTGAAAGACATTTTTAGGGTTTGTAATCCACTAGATTACAAACGCTAAAAATCCCTAAAAAGAGGATTCAAATCCCAGACACATGAACATATGACAAATAAATGTAATTACAGACGGGTCGAATCCTTTGGGAAATTTCTTTTCTTACTCAAATATTTTTTTTTTTACATTCTCATGTACTCCATATACAGGGGTTCCCTGGTTTATGTGGTTACGTCAAATTCTCTCATAAATTGATTAAGAAAGTCTGGTTCCATCTATCCGATGTACAGCACAGGATCTTGTTGGTGGTTCTCTCATAAATTGATTAAGAAAGTCTCGTTCCATCTATCCGACGTACAGCGCAGCACAGGATCTTGTTGGTGAGTGGAGCAGATACATACGTCGTCACACAGTGATATACGCAGTAGACGCCTTTGTTTACGCTTGCCGGTTGGATGCTATACAATAATGTGCAACTTTTTTGGGAATCTTTTTACCTTCATTATGGCTCCAAAGCATAAGTCATTATGTTAATGTTACCACGTGTTAGCGTAGGTAAGTGACCAGTGGTTCCCCAACTTTTTCTACTCTGTACCACCTGAGAAAACATTGATCTCTCTGAGTCCCACCATGATGACCAACATTAGAATACAGCAGCAGAGGCCTTCACTGTTAGCTTCACCACGGGAGAGATGTTTAAAAAAGGTTTAGAAAGATGTTTATGTTTAAATGTTCTATTAATTGTACATGGTATGATTCAGATTTATTCAACTGAAAATGTGAAAATTTTAATAAATTTTCCCCATGTACCACTGGTGGTACACGTACCACAGTTTGAGAACCACTGATATAGACAATTATGTACAAAGGTAAACTGAAAAAGTATTCAAATGAAGCCAAAATACAGCCAATAATTAGGGCTATAAATGTTAAGAGTTGTCTAAAAAAAAGTCAAAGAAAAACAGAAAATCACTTGGTGAAAAGATGATCTGTCAAGGTCTGGGGTTGTATTTGAGAGTGTAAAATTAATGGAACCCCAAATCCCAGTGTGCGTTGGGTTGGTAAGAGAGTTCTACTACACTAACCCCAGGTTTCCAGTTCAGGTATTTAAACTCAGAGACGTCTGTAGACTTGTGCAAGCAACTCTATTTAAGTATCACTAAAGAAGAGAGAAAGAGACAGAGAAGAACAGCAAGTGCAGACAAACTCTCCTGTGACAGTTGACCTGATATGCATTCTAGGTAATTTTCTGTGATGAGAAACTCTCACCTGAAGCTACTGTCACTGGGAGAATGAGAACAAGTCTGAGAGCTACACATTTGGACAGGTGTCAAGGTGATGGTAGGGATAGCAACGCAAAGACTCGTGCTGCTGAGAACAACCCCGAGGCGTCTTGCTGCTCTTTACTAACATTACTGTTGTCACCCACGGGCGGCTCTTACCTTTGGCAAAAATCTCGTATTTTTTTTTACTATCCTCCTGCCTCCTGCCTTTTATCACAGCCACTCGGACAACTTCACTTTATTTTTGCATTCACCGTCTTAAACACACTGAATGGGCTCTCTGCACTTAGTAATAAAACAGTTAAGAGTTGTCTGGACTGAGGGACTGAGGGACTGTGTGTGTGTGTGTGTGTGTGTGTCTGCGACTGAGACAATGAGTGTTTATGAATTTTAATGAACACACTTTTGGAAAGTCCTGACTTATTGAGAAACTGTAGGGAAGAAGTGTTTACTCAATGTTTTGAGATCTTCACAGGAGCTTCTGTATAAACTCAGGACAACAAACATTGCTTATTGAAAGGTAAAATCCTACCACCTGAGTCCCCATAACAATAGATAAAGGCTACTGTTAACCCAAAGTGTTTGGCTAATTGTCTGACTTTTGCTGTCTCAGCTGACAAACAAAAGTATAAAAACTTTATTCAACACATTTTCTGTTTCATATTTTAATGAGTTGCCAACTTAGTGGGAAGATAACAGGATACAACAAACAGTCAGATACAAGGCAGTGCTGCTAAAAGCAGTTAATGAAAAATAATATTCTGATTCTAAAAAAGTTATAATCATAAAAGAAAGACAGGGAGACAGTGGGTCAGTTTTCCCGCAACCTCAGGGCTTTTCTAGCAGAGCTACTGAATCAGTCATAATCACAGAAGCCAGCCCGACCTGTGACGCCCTTCTCTATTAAATTAGAGAAACTCAAAGTAAATTAAATTAAATTAAAGCAAATTAAGCTATCCAAAAAATGAAACTAAACTAAACAAAATGTAGGACTGAGAAGAAATACTTTTCTAATAGGTGTTGTTTTTAGGTAATTACTTCTCAGTTAACCTAAGGTTGGACAACGGTCTTAAGAAGGGTGTCCGCAAAGACACCGTGTATGTGTGGGTGAGCATGTGTGTGTGTGTGTGTGTGTGTGTGTGTGTGGAGGGGGGGGTGTCATAAACTCTTTGTTTCTCTTGACTATTTTCCTAATTTAAACATTTTGCGCACGCTACAAATAAAAACATGCATATATTAATATGACGATCGTTTGAAAAGTTCAGTTTCAAATGAAAAATAACGAGGTACTGTTACTACTACTACTGTAGTGGCACGAGGCCCAGGTTATCATAGAAGAAAATGTCATTAAGTATATATGCAGTATGAGGGAGTTCCAACCAAAAAAAGCATTAAGGGCTCTTGGTTTTTGTTTTAAATTCATTTTAAAGTGTCATCTGCATACACTGTGAACAAGTGTCTGTTAAACCATATATTTACTGTATATTGGCCACGATCCCAAAGTCTGAGAATGAACCTTTTCTAACTTTCAATTTTGTTTACAAATGAAGGAGAAAATATAAACTGGGAGGTTTAAATGGGACTTACTTCTATCTGATATGTAGGCCGGCTGTGGATGAGCCTGGTAACTTGCTGCTTTTTTTTTGTTGCCCTGGAATGAGAACAAAATTAAAAAAAATGAGTACAGCGATGTCTTACTGCCCCGTGGAACTGGCCACAGTTAGAAGTGCAAGCTATTGCATCTTTATCCTCATTCAACAACTGTTGGCTCCAGGTCATGAAGTGTACCACAACACAACTGAACCGAGTTAATTTACTGAAGGGCAGCAAAAAATAAAATAAAAAAAAGACAAACAAAAACGCAAACAAAAAGGTTTTCTGGTTCATTTTTTCAACCACGAGCGCAGACTGTAAAACGGGCCAGGCAAGGGTCAGTTGGCCGTAAGAGTTGGCTTCTCCAACAAGAGAGACTGTGATTTGAAAATAGTAGATGTAGATGTAGATGATGTGTTTCTTCCTGAAGCTGGTCATCAGTGAAACTTGAACCAACTTCTCTGATCACAATCCTGAGGCTACAAAAAAGTCAGGTTTCAGGACTGTTGATCATAAATGAAACGAAATGGATGTGGATTGGTAAAGGCCTTATTAAAAACCTATGAAAAGCTGAAGAAAACATTTGTATCTTCGCCCTCTGTGGTGTCATGTAACCTAAAACACAATGACAGATCCTAGTGGAGAAGCCAAAATAAATGTGAGGGTAAAGCAACACTCCATGGACTGAGTCTGAGATGACTTGTCCATGGATCTTGATGGAAGTTGCTAGTGTTAAACTGAAGTACAGGGACATGGCTGGTGTTTTACCAATGGGTTGAATACAGAAAATAATTTCACTTCACGGAATGAGGGGAGTAAAAAATGAAATAGAGAAGCATTTGAATGGCAGGTGACGTATCGAACAAATTTCAAGTCAAGTTGCTTCCGTCTCAACAAAACCTGATTCTTCACAGACCTGTGAGAGTGCAACGGTGGTTTGGGGTTTATTTGAATGTAAATTTGTGTGAATATCAGATAACCTTACTGGATTTTATTAATGCCAGCTAACATTTACCTGAGTAGTTTACTGTCATAATCAGTGCCTGAGGGCTTCTTTCAACAATGTGCGATGTCATTTTGGCAAATTACGATCCAAATGAAATAACGCAGATGGAAAAACATGGCTCAAGTGACAAATGTGATTAAGTATAATATACAATTGACCATTTTTTACACATTGGCCGGCCATTATAATAGCCATTATAATTCACTGCACAGTAATGCAGTAAATTAGAAACAACACAGTGTCAAGGTTTTTATTTAGTGGACCCTTCACTTCGTTCGCAATCCATCACTCGCTCCATTACCTCTTACTGTAAATTGCATCATAATTCACAAAAATATTTTGTTTTTGAGCAGACGTCCTGAACTAGTGATTGAGACACAAGAAACTCTGGGGGAAAGTCCTTTGAGTTTATTAATTTACCATGAAGTACTTTCTGTTTTTTCATAAAATAACAAATGATTGGTTTGTAATGCTCTCTCTTTGGTTCAACTCCAGTCTGTGATTGCATTGTTAGAAGTTGATCATTAAAGTCAGGATATGGGTGAAGACATCAGGAGGACAGGTGGACGGATGTACAACTGTGATGGAGTAATTATATTAGACTGGTCCTGGCCAGAGAGACCGCCCGTCTGTCGTCAGTTTAATTAGCAGTTACCACGTTCAAGCAATGACGAATGGCCTAGACGGTAAAGAGGCTGATTAGATTTGAATAGATCATAGACGACACAGATTAACTGGTATTACCCCCGTACAGAAGTTCTCATTACTCCTCAGCAAGTCTGTGCCCCTGCACTGAGGTGAACTCAACCCGCCTCCTCCCAATCGTCCTCCTCATCATGCTCCCACTCTTCTGGTCCCAATCTACACATTTAAAAAAAACGCTGTAAATGCTCGGGGTGAGGCACGCTGGCCTATATTAATGTAAACTCCTGCACCTAACACTGCCAACTCAGCAAAGTAAAGCCTCTCCTACGACAATGGGAGTAATAGGCACTGCTCTTACCTATTATCCCAGCTCAGTCTTAGCCACAGGGACATTAACCTGTGGAACTCAACATGTACATCTTCTTCACCATGACAGTTTACTGCAGCCATATTCATTTTACCCCTAGGTGCAGTGTGGAAAAAACCTTTGCTGCAGTTACAAGGGGATCTCTATCGTGCACAGGGAACAGTGTATATAATGTAAGGCACGTATTTTTGATTTTTTTTTTTTTCACGGCCAAGGTATAACTGCAGATGCAAATGCAGCTAATAGTTGTTTTGGTAAATAAAAAAAATGTAATTAACTTGCATGTCCCTGAGGCATGAAATTAAAAACAGACACACAATTAGTTTTCCGTGTATCAGGTCGATCAAAGACGATCTTCTCTATATTTGTTTAGATCTGGAAGATACACATTCTCAATAGTCACAGAGCCAAAGAGATTAACATTTAATTTAATCAATCTGCAGAATCTGTTCTGAAAATGAGCCAACATTTTGGATCAAAGGCCCAACTGTGATGATGAAATGAAGATGGCGGAGATGAAATAATAAAATTTAGCTTTAGAAACTAAACACAGACAAACTTTAAAGACTGAATATCTGAAACTTCAGAGTAATTGGCAGAGGGGAGAAAATTCATAGAAATCTGTGAAGACACTTTAAACTAAATCGTAACTCTGAAAGTTCTTTAATAAGTGAACGGTGTTGCAAGGTCTGTCAGTAGGATTTAAACCCCCACCCCCACCCCACCCCCAAACTCAAACAACAAGAACTGTGTATTCTTACTGGTTGGAAATGTTGTCCAGCGTCTACAAAACAAAACCTAAGAGGGAACTTTCTACTCAAAATATCACAACATTTCAAATCATATAATTATCATATTATACAATTTACATTTCACATCATCTAGGTATTATATCACATCATCTACATACCATTTCATCTGTATATTGTATCATCTCCATATCATATCATCTGCATATAACAATGTATTTTTAATTACTAGAAAAACGCAACATAAACTATATTACTGAGAACTATAGTCATGCAATTCTTCAAACTGCAGCTCTTTAGTGATTGACAGATGAACACACACAGTGCTGACGTGTAAGGAACTAAATCACGTTGCATGGCACTCATGTTGCCGTTCTAAGCTTGTTCAAAGGCCAGCACAGACTTGGAGTTTGACTCCACTGCCGAGCTGTGTAACAGCCAGGCTTCATCCACAAACAAATGTGTTCTATGTCGGATCAAATGTTCTTGTTTTTTCCATCTGTAGTCAGCGTACTTCGTGACCTTTCGTAATAGCGTTTCCTCTGTAATATTACAAATTTTAAATGAGGATCTGAGCAGATGCTTAACATCTTATATCACTGTCAAATTAACTGTGAACCCCTGCTGTAATTACTTTGCACAAATAAAAGTATGGTTGAGAGGATTGATATAAACGCACGCTGGGAGACTGTCACTCAGAGAACATTAGATTTTCCCGTGGACCTCGGTTCTTGCTGTAATAAAGCAGCTCGTCAATCTTTCCCCTTAGCACCACAGTTCTGTGCACGTTTACTGTATATTATAAATGTTAAGAGGATAACTGAGTTGGAAGCACTTGTATAGTTTTCCATTCATTCGGGAGAGCGCCATCACATGACACAGCGAGAGCTTAAATTCAGCCGCAGCTTCTGCTGATGCTTAATTCCTGTCAGTCTGACACCAACACCGGTTTTTGCACATAATCACACAGGAACCAATTTCTATTTTTTTCTGCCTTGCTTGGTGGAATTAAAAACGGAGAATATGCACCGACATTCCAATCAGCCATCTTAACAACCACGCAAAGTTAAGTTGGCAAATTACTGCTCTCAGCAATATCAGCATTTACTTGGTGTTGAATGTGAAGACACTTGTATAAAGACAAAGAGGAATAAATGACTTCATTTATCTGGATGTCATGTTTTCCTGCTGTTTGGAGCAGGCCTGAATTAAAGTGTGTGACAATCCACAGAACCTTCGTCTGGATTTCTATTTCTTCATCCATCCTCACCCTCTCTCTCTCTCTCTCTCTTTTATCCTGTATCCATCTTTGTCTTCCAGCTTTTACATTTAGAAGGTACAACAATGGATCATCTGCCTTTTCTCCACTGTATTGTCAGCTTCCTTGTGTCTTACACCAACCCACACCTACATCTACTGTATGTATCTTCTCTGGGATCATCCTTTGTCCAATGAATCACCTAGATAAGCTCAGTCCACATCCAAACAATCGCAACCTGGTTTCTTTGGTTGCATGCCATGAAATATTGGATAAAAAATACATTTTCTCATTCATTCTCCGCCTACTGTCTTTAAGACTGTAATACATTTTTTTCATGCTAATCAAGTCCTCATAGTTCTCCTTCAGCTCTCCTAAAATTGATCTCTAATTGATTTTCAACTTCATAGTTCTCCTTCAGCTCTCCTAAAATAATTGATTTTCAAATGTATTCTCTATCAACCTAACCTGCTGTACATCATTTCTAGATCTGCCAGTCCCGTAGTTTAGACCAGGATGGGCGTACTGATGTTCAAAATTTGACCACTGGCGGGCCAGTTCAGCATTGATCTACGCAGATTTCTGGACAAAATAATTTCAATAAAATGTACAATAATAAACCTAAACATTCTAAGAAAATGTGGCACATTTAATGTCTGCTCCCATTTAGTGGCATCAACAGAAATTACAATTTTTTGTTTATTTGATGTTAGGGCAGTGGTGGATTGGTGGTTAAGGAAGCGGACTTGGGTCTGCAAGAGTTTAGGTTTGAGTCCACCAACAGTCAAGTTACAATTGAGGTACTCTGAGCATGACACCGTCCCCACTGTTCACTTTGGTGATGGGTTAAAAGCAGAGGTCACATTTGGTTGTGTATAGTGGTGAGCTGAGTCACAATGACAAGGAGTTCACTTTCTTTATTTCTTGTAATGCATGAAACAAGAGGATTGACACCAGTCTTTTCCATCCCTGGTACCAGTGTTTGGCGGGCTGGAACCCAAAAGCCCAGCAGGCCGCAGTTTTCCCAGATCTG